TCAGAAGTGGTGCCAGTTTGTTGTAGACGACCTCGCAAGTCATACACAGGACGATGGCTGCATCCCATTGCTCTTGCGACGTCAATAACTGATCTTCCCGCTTGCAACATGCCAACGGCACGTTCACGTTGCACATTTGACAATCATGGCATTTGAAGTACCGTTAGAACTGTGGTTTAAAAGTGTGTTTTTTTCAATTCTTGAGGCCAATGCAAACACGTGCATATGAAGAAAACTTCGATGCGAATATCACGTGATCGACTGCACGTGCAAAACCTGATTTGGCACTAACGTCATTTGCACGACGAATGGATGGGTTTGAGTGGGTTTTGCTAACGTGTTTCTAGAGTCGAAAGATAGGGATCCCATTTCGAATACATAGATGTATCATCAGAGAAAAATTATTCATTATTTTTCAAATTACATTTTGTGAAGTTTCTTTTTTGACTCAGTATACATTGACATCTGAACATGCCCTTTCACAATACATCTATAAAGCTTTTAGGGCGATATACCAAAGCGAGAAAGTGAGAAAGCGATAGAGCGAGAAAGCAAGACAACGAGAAAGCGATAGAGCGAGAAAGCAAGGCAGCGTGAAAGCGATATAGAGGGAAAGCAAGTTTCCACTTATTGCATGTGAATCGTTTTGATATGAGTTTATGATTATGAACATGACTCATACATATACTTCAATATATTGAACGGCCTTCAAGTCCTCCTCTGGAAACATAAAATGTTACACACAAAAATGTGTATTGATCAAACCCTACGCGGCCATGTACAGCTGTAACCTTTGAGGTGTATTGATACATGCAACGTTTAGTCATAGGTATATCAGTATTATAAGTTACGGTGGCAGTCGCAAACCGACAGCTTTACAAAGCAACATTCAATAATATACTTATTAACATGTATTTACTGATGTTATGTATGATAAGAGATCAACATGTTACAGAGAAACGGTTGTTATGTACGTAGAAATATGACGTTGTCATTTGATTTCATCCTAAATGTCTCATAGTCAGATGCGTATAACAACGGTTATAACAAACTAAACTTACTGATCCCTTTGAGTTTATTACAACAGTAGGTTACTGTAGGTAGCTTACACACGCCTCATCTCGCCTTACTTTGCATGTAGTTTGTTCAATACGTGTTTCATGTCAGGTTGGTCCTACAGAAGTTCTTCCGCTGAAGAACTCAAACGGACAACAACTTGTGGTTCGTTATAACTTTTGTTCGTTATACGCATTTCGACTATAATATGAAGCATATAGCCGAGACAAAAGCCTTGTATCCCTCACTTCCGTATAGACGAGGTCGTTATAAGCGCAGCCTGTCTCTCCCAATGACTGGTGACTATGGTGGCAGCAATTTGATAATGTACAAAGAGTGAATGTCTAACGTTTCTGTTGTTCATGTACATACTATTGTTTGTGGTGGTGTGTGGTCCTGTGCGTAGAGCCCAGGTCACAAATCAGTTGAAGGTAAGCAACGAGTCCTTGGATGGGTGACCGTGTTTGGCAGCTTTCAAAACTACTGAGCAAGTGAGTTTGTTCAAGATTGCCTCTGTTCACCCAGCAGAAAATGGGTACCCGGGGAGATAAGTCATGTGACTATTAACCTTCTATCACCTCACAGGCAGCTTAGGTTATCCGGGGTAATAATAATCAGATTCTGATTACAGAGTCCAGTGAGCAACTAGTCAGATGGATACTTGGCGCTATATAAATAAATTATCATTATTGTCATCATGCCACAAAACCTTGTTTCCTTGTACATCTTTCAGTTGACGTCATCCTTCCATTAACCATGGTGCAATGATAGTTTGACAGCATCCTGTTCTCAGCTTGATCAGACGAGAGGTCAACAGCATCTTAATGTTGGGCTGCGGCATGTTTTCATCTTTGATTAGACGAACGTTTGACTGCATCTTTTCATTTGCTTATATTAACCAATAGTTTGACTGTTGCATGGTTCTGTTACTACAGTGAGGTACCAAGGTGCGTTACTATGCGCGCCTCGTCTATCCGTGGGTATTAGCAATTTCGGTTCATGTTGATGAAAATGTTTAGTTATTCAATTTCATCAGTTTTGTTAAGTTAAAGAAAGTACAGCTGCATTTTAGATCACCCTGAAATACAATATAATGTTACAAACATGAATGTAGTATTTTCAATACCTCATTTCTGATTTCTCCACCTATAACCAGACAACAAGAAATGATAGTAAAATATAGAGTTGTCTACATACGGCCCGTTTCTAGTATCACAAACTTCACAATTCAATGAATGTGATCTATATATAATACATTGCGGTGCAAAGGAAACGCAAGTTCCAATTTGTTTGGAACGTTGTAAGCATGACTAACCTCTCCATGAGTCGGAGCGAGTAGGACAGTTCACCATTATAACAATCCTTGAACAACGAGGCCGTTATACAGAGTCAGTTGTTGAACGTTGTTGTGACCTACCTAGAGTCACAACACATAGGTCCCACAAGGAGCAACAAGCACGTCAGCTGTTGGGGCCAAGCAGAGCAGGATCAGCAGACGCTGTCAGATGACGTGTCAGTGGCGTCAGGCATCTCTTTGAATGAGTCCCGCTACCATCTTTCTCCTGTTATCCCCATGTTTGTTGTTCAGCTTCAACTTCAGTTGTTGCACCAGGACAACGCACAGTGAGATACAGGTGGGTTGTCGATGGATCACCTTGACTCCAAAGAAACATGTTTGGGATTAGCTCCAACGTAGGACTGCAGCGAAAGCATACATTACATTTGATAAAAGATTATTTCCCATATCATTTTATAACCTTCCAATATTCGTTGATGACATACACTATCATTTTTCACATTGAAGTGTAGGTCTCTTTGGAAACATCTGTGATTCAGCTGTTAGATCTTTAACTGACAACACTTTCTCCATATTTTGTTTCATTTCACAATATTGAGTTTGACTATTGTTAAATAGTTTGACGTTTCTTTTGCTGTTCATTATATGTTACTGTATCATTTGACACGAATGATAGTTTTAAATGACTAGAAATATAATATTTATATTTATTTAGTTGATAGATGCGGGATAATGTGGGATGTACGAGATGTGGCGATGGTACGGGATAGGATTCGTTTTGCATTTAACTAAGCAACGTTATGAGATCGGATAATGTCATTGAATGTGGTATGGTATCGCGGGCATTGGATAACAGAATGCTGCTTTGGAAGTGTTTGATTGTACACTGTTAGATTGTTTTAAAGCTAGCCACTCATGATGGAAATCAACATGAGTGAGTGAGTTTAGTTTTACGCTGCACTCAGCAATATTCCAGCTATATGGCGGCGGTCTGTAAATAATCAAGTCTGGGCCCGACAATCCAGTGATCAACACCATGAGCATCGATCTGCACAATTAGGAACCGATGACATGTGTCAACCAAGTCAGCGAGCCTGACCACCCGATCCCGTTAGTCGCCTCTTACGACAAGCATGGGTTACTGAAGATCAATATTCTAACCCGGACCTTCACTGGTCAAAATCAAGATGAAAAGATGCTTATCGAAACGCCTTATTTGACACAGGTCCCTTCAGCCGTCACCTCCGACACAATGGGTACACAATGTCATAATATTAGTGGTTGGATGGCCGTGTGTGTCATAATATTAGTGGTTGGATGGCCGTGTGTCATAATATTAGTGGTTGGATGGCCGTGTGTCATAATATTAGTGGTTGGATGGCCATGGCCGTGTATTGATGTCATAATATTAGTGGTTGGATGGCGTGCAAGCCCGTGTCATAATATTAGTGGTTGGATGGCCATGTGTGTCATAATATTAGTGGTTGGATGGCCGTGTGTGTCATAATATTAGTGGTTGGATGGCCGTGTGTCATAATAATATTAGTGGGTTGGATGGCCATGTGTGTCATAATATTAGTGGTTGGATGGCCGTGTGTGTCATAATATTAGTGGTTGGATGGCCGCCGTGTGTGTCATAATATATTAGTGGTTGGATGGCCGTGTGTGTCATAATATTAGTGGTTGGATGGCCGTGTGTCATAATATTAGTGGTTGGATGGCGTGTGTCATAATATTAGTGGTTGGATGGCCGTGTGTCATAATATTAGTGGTTGGATGGCCGTGTGTCATAATATTAGTGGTTGGATGGCCGTGCCCATGTGTGTGTCATAATATTAGTGGTTGGATGGCCGTGTGTGTCCGTGTGTCATAATATAGTAGTGGTTGTGGTTGGATGGCCGTGTGTGTGGCATAATAGTATGGCCAATATTTGTGGTCATAATATTAGTGGTTGGATGTGTGTGGATGGCCGTGTGTCATAATATTAGTGGTTGGATGGCCGTGTGTGTCATAATATTAGTGGTTGGATGGCCGTGTGTGTCATAATATTAGTGGTTGGATGGCCGTGTGTGTCATAATATTAGTGGTTGGATGGCCGTGTGTCATAATATTAGTGGTTGGATGGCCGTGGTTGTCCGTGTGTCCTAATATTAGTGGTTGGATGGCCGTGTGTGTCATAACAGTATTGGTTGTTAATTGAGAAAATCCACATCCAGTCATTTTATAGAATAGGATAGTAAAGGATAGCCTCCACCTGTGCTATATATTCTCTAAAAGTGAAGTCATACAACGCCATTCCTGAACATTACTGATGAGCATGTAGTACGATTCAGGAACTGCGAGTGGCGAATGTGCTTCTGTTTGTAGTCGATCAGGCGCAGACAGGACTGAATTGTGCCTTTTATCGCTTTCTCGCTTTCTTCCTTTCTTGCTTTCTCATGTTCTAGGTCTTTCTCGCGCAATGATATCGCTCTGTAGTTCGCGACCGTATTTAATGCGAGCAGGCGATGGCCCTTCTCAGCCACCATACTCAGGCGTATTGAGTGGTGAGCACCTGGCGAAGGAGAATGTGTCGTCATTGACAGGGGACCAATGCAAGCAGACTCTTTGTCTTGAAATCGACACCACTGTTACATGTAGTCCATAGTGGTGTGAACAGGCTCCACAAGTACAGAAGTCTCCACAAATACAGAAACGCTGCTCTCTACAGACAGGTTCCAGTGTTACAGACAGGCTCTACAACCAGGCTCCACTGTTAGAAGTACCATGAAAGTGTGTTGGGTGTCCAAGTACTATCGACGTGAGTTGACAACACATATTGATCATAACTATAGTAGTATGTGATACGACTTAAGATTGACTATATTCAAATCAGGTAGAAGTGTTTTCGACCTCATTCTACGACTGGGTACAAATAGTGGGAGATCGTTACTTTAAAGTTTTACATTTGTTGCCTTCCGTGAAGTTACTTTAACGTTTTACATCAATTGCCTTTCGTGAAGTTGTTTTTTTTGTATATTTTGTATTCACTTCAGTTGGATACAATCGTCATTTTGTGAGCCTTTAAGGCGACATGCATAGAAAGACATATTTACATACTGAATTACAGTATGTGATGGGACTAGTAGACTATGCAAGATCGTGAATCACCATGGAATGGAAGTACTGCATCTTCGTAAGATGAAGTCATAACATTGGCAATATTACATCCCATTTTCTAATAAATGAATCTATGTTGATATTTTTCGAACAAATATATTTTTCAATTTGATATACATCTTTTAATACTGCTTTATAGGTATTAAGACTGGGTTTCAAACCCTTTATGTTCATTACATATATATGGCGTTTGGCCAATGAAATCATGTGGTTGAGTAGGCGGTTGCTAGTGCAGCAAAATAAGATATCTATAGTAGAAAGCTCATATGTTTTGTTCAATAGTCTATTAACAAGATTGGTGAATTCTTTCCAAAACACTGTAATAGTTGGACATTCAATATATACATGATAGATGTTCTCACTTACCGAACCACACGATGAACATAAATCGTTATTAACCAGTTTCATTTTTGTATAAATGGCTTTTTATATAAATTTATATTGAAACTCTAGGAGTTTTGTGTCTTTGTTAGATTGTCTATATTGTAGAAATATATTCTTCCAATTTAAATGATCACTCAATTCGCTGTCCCATTTCTGACAGACTTTGGGAAAATTATTTTCAGATATGAAATTATCGTAAAATAATCTTGAGCCTTTACTGTGGAGGATCAAATCATTCCAAGGGGAACATATTGACAATTTAGATTTATTTGGATGTTTTGGCGTTCGTATAACCTCTTTCCATTTTTGGGGAATACTGAGAAGAACACGATTTAGGTCAAGTATCGTACCCCTAATATCAAATTTTGTTTTAAGTTCTGAAAATGTAAGGAAATCATGGTCATTACAAATATCATTAATGTGTACTATTCCCTTTTGGAACCAGTTCAATATAATCAAATTAGGGTGGTAACACAGGTGGTTCAACCAAATGGGTTGCATAAGAATTTCATTTATATCATTGTTCCATTCATAGCCCTTAATATATCTACCCCATGCATCGAGTGCGTCTTTCCAAAACGGGTTTTCAATTTTGTATTGTTTACTAATATTTGCGCCTAATAGAAGAATGTCTTTTACAGGAAAACCAGCTAAACTATAACACTTAGAATTTGACACGTATCTCTTTAAACATGCAATTTTTTGTGAATCAATACAAGTTTTGATGTCAACCATTCTCAGACCACCATCTTCATATTTTCGCATTAAATTAATTCGCTTTATCTTGTCTTTCTTATCATTCCATATGAAATTAAAAAATATATTATTCAATTTTATGATGACATCCTTCGGAGGATTGGGAAGAGACGTAAGAACATGAACTATAGTTGCTAAAGCTAAACTTTTAATAACGGTTATTTGTCCAATCAGAGTTAAGTTTCGTTTTTCCAGTTCAAAAGACCATGTGTTCTAGTCTCTTCTTTGTATTGATCACCCACAAGTTTTCTAAATGAGCATTAAGCTTTATTCCCCGAAGTTACTATAAAGCTTTACATTCATTGCCCTTCGTGAAGTTACTTTTAATGCTTTTACATCCATTGCCTTTGGTCAGGTTATTAGTTTAAAGTTTTACATTCATTGCCTTGGAAGACAGAAAGTTTTACATTCATAGCCTTTCGTAGGTTTCCTTTAAAGTTTACATTCATTGCGCTTCGTGAAGTTACTTTAAAGATTTTACATTCACACCAGTGATGTTTACATTCATTGCCTTAGTGACCAGTTATGTTTTGGCATATCATTATTATTAAGTAGGTCACCTGTATGTCTGATGCAGTACCAGGAGAAACAATCTGTTGGTAGACAGATTAGTTACCAGGGTACACAGGTATGTTGGTAGACAGATTAGTTACCAGGTATACAGGTATGTTGGTAGACAGATTAGTTACCAGGCATACCGGTATGCATGGTTAGACAGATTAGTTACCAGGTATACCGTTATGCTGGCAGACAGATTAGTTACCAGGTACACCGGTTATGCTTAGTAGACAGATTAGTTACCAGGTACACCGGTTATGCTGGCAGACAGATTAGTTACCAGGTACACCGGTATGTTGGCAGACAGATTAGTTACCAGGTACACAGGTATGTTGGTAGAGAGATTAGTTACCAGGTACACCGGTATGTTGGTAGAGAGATTAGTTACCAGGTATACCGGTATGTTGGCAGACAGATTAGTTACCAGGTACACCGGTATGTTGGTAGACAGATTAGTTACCAGGTATACCGGTATGTTGGCAGACAGATTAGTTACCAGGTACACCAGTATGTTGGTAGACAGATTAGTTACCAGGTATACCGGTATGTTGGCAGACAGATTAGTTACCAGGTACACAGGTATGTTGGTAGACAGATTAGTTACCAGGTATACCGGTATGTTGGCAGACAGATTAGTTACCAGGTACACAGGTATGTAAGTAGACAGATTAGTTACCAGGTTACACCGGTATGTTGGTAGACAGACAAGTTACCAGGTACACTGGTATGTTGGTAGACAGATTAGTTACCAGGTATACCGGTATGTTGGTAGACAGATTAGTTACCAGGTATACCGTTATGCTGGCAGACAGATTAGTTACCAGGTACACCGTTATGCTGGCGGAACAGACTAGTTACCAGGTATACCGTTATAACTGGTGAGACAGATTAGTTACCAGGTATACCGTTATGCTTTGGCAGACATACTAGTTACCAGGTACACACTGGTATGCTTGCAGACAGATTAGTTACCAGGTACACCGAGTATGTTGGTGAACAGATTAGTTACCAGGTACACACAGGTATGTTGGCAGCCAGATTAGATACCAGGTACACCAGTATGTTAGTAGATTGATTAGTTACCAGGTACGCACTGGTATGTTAGTAGACAGATAAGTTACCAGGTTATGACCGTTATGCTGGCAGACAGATTAGTTACCAGGTATACCGGTATGTTGGCGGACAGATTATTAACCAGGTACACTGGTATGTTGGCAGCCAGATTAGTTTTATCTCACCGGGTACCCAATTTCTGCTGAGTGAACAGAGGCAATTTTGAACAAACTCCCTTGCCTAAGGTCAGAAGTCCTAGAAACTCTCAGGAGTCAAGCTACCAAGCACGGTCACTCATCCAAGGACTCTCCGTGACTTAACGTCAACTGATTTGTAACCTGGGCTCACAGGACCACACCTCTTGTGAGCATTGAGGTGAACAAAGTGAGTTGACATCCAATGATGAATCTAGCTACACAATCCACAATCTTCTGTACGCTAGCAACAGAGGACGGTCTGCGCTGGTCTCAGCTTGTGACAGATCAACGAAGTCGAGCGGGAGACAGGTTTCGTTATTTGTCACCCTGTTATCGCTTGCCCACTTCCGACTGTCTTACTCGCAAATCAATAGGTTTGAATCCAACACTTATCCGTGCATTGGGTGCAACATATTAAGCACTTTATTTTGTACTAGGGCTGAGTTTCATGTTCCCTCATCCTATAAACATTATTCATGTATGGTGGGCACAGCCTTGTGACATGTTTTGTTTTTCAGTTTATGAAGCGACATACGGTTTGTGGTTTGGGATATTTCTATGTACAATACTCTGTACATCTGAATGCGTTTTGGAGTATGGAGGGTGCATGGGACCTTTTCCCCCTCTATTTTGCAAAATCTTCATAAGTACGACTGATAATATTTAACTAAAGGGTAAATGAACATAATTCCAGTTATGTGTGTCCGTCTACAAGACACTGGTTGCTGAAGCTGAAGTATTGTCAAGGCGTACATGTCGACGGGGGAACTAGATCGGAATTCGGTCTTAAAATAAATTGTGTCCAAACTTCTTCGGTTTTACTACACTAATTACAGTTACGAACAGAGAAATAAGCAGTGGTTCTTCTCTACTGCGACAAATGCAGCAAGCGAACGTGTCCTACTCACGGCTGTAAATACAGGTATAGTCGGAATATCAGTCTGGCTGACTGTATACATATAAACATACATGTAGTTAAAGACAACGTGAGTGAGTGAGTTAAGATGTATAGTCACATCGGCAATATTTCAGCCATATCGAGATTAAAAAGTTATAAATTGATAATAATGGAATTAAATTACAATAACCTGTCGACGAAGGACAGTAAAGCTAGATTATAACAGATAGTGAGTGGGAGAGTTAAAATGTAAAGTCACTTTGGCAATATTTCAGCCATATCGCGACTGAAACAGTAAATGCTTTATAGTTTAACATTTCAAATCTGTCGTCAAAGGACAATAAAACAACTACTATATCACAGTTAGAGATTAAAAACTAACATGTAACTTAAAATTATAGCGTATTTGGGACATTGCAACATAACAATGGGCTATAGATAGCCAGCAAATGAAGGTAGATCAACATAGTTAATAATTCTTCATGGCTTTTACAGCTTCCATGCGTCTGTGTATTCTTTCCAAGCAGAGTTTGGAAGAAACGTCCTCCGGAGTCAATTTTCCATCCATAAGTCCATCATACAGTGAAACAGCTTCAGTAATGTCTTCATTTTCATGCCTATCAGTGACATCTGCAGATAATTCTTCATGGCTGTGAGAGGGAGGGAGGGGCACATCAAAAAGCCCTGGCAACCAAGAGGGCATTCAAGGCTGTGTCAACCAACATGTGAGCTCTAACAGCTCTAGCAGCTGCTTTTCCACTAAGCATATGTCCAACTGAATTTGTTGCATATACT